TGTGGGTTGTGTGGGAAATCGTCATGTCGAAGGCTCTCCCTCCTCTTCCTCCTCCTCCTCCTCCTCCTCCTCCTCCTCCTCTTCATCCTCCTCCTCCTCTTCCTCCTCCTCCTCCTCTCTCCTCCTCCTCCTCCTCCTCCTCCTCCCCCTCCTCCTCCCCCTCCTCCTCCCGCTCCTCCTCCTCCTCCTCCTCCTCCTCCTCCTCCTCCTCCTCCTCCTCCGGGGGTCAGGGGTGGGTGTTTCGACCAAGAAACAAACCACACCACCCCACCTCCGGGGCGCTGTGCTGGATGTTTGCGACCTTGCCTCGCTGCATGTTTGGATCACACGGCGAGGCGCAGCTGCTGTAACGCATCCCGAGGCGAGAACATAGTTCTATGATCTGGGCGAAGGACCCAGGCAGATGCAGTTGTGAGTGCCGCAGCTGTGAGTATGGTTTTCGGTGGACTTCCCCATTGGCCCATGGGCCACGAAGTGCGCGAGAGGCATGCCGAAAAGGGGGGGGGGCGCATGCCGACCTTTGCCATTGGGGCCTCGGGTGGAGCTCCCCATGAGGGCCGCGAAACGCGTGAGTGGCGTGCCGAGGTGAGGGCAGCCGCATGCGAACTGTGCCACCAGCCACGAGGACTCCCGTTGGGGCCACGGAGCGTGTGAGGGGTGTGTCGAAACGGGGTGACGCCCACATGCGACCGTCGCCATTGAGGCCCTTGAGTGGAGCTCCCTTTGGGGGCCACGCCGAGCATGATGGGTGTCCCGAAACGGGCGTGAGGCCCAAATGCGAACGTCGCCCCTTGGACCATCGGTGGAGCCCCTAATGGGGCCACGAACTGTGACGGGTGTAGTTACCGAAATAGGTGACGGGAGCGCATGCGAACTGCGCAATTGGGGCCTTCCGTGGAGCCCCGTATTTAGACACGTAACATATGAGGGGTGTGCCGAAATATGTAGTGGGGACGCATGTGAATTGCGCCACTGAGACTTTCGGTGGAGCTGATGTTGGGGCCACGTGTGCCGAAACGGGCGTGACGCGCACATTCGAATTGCGCCACTGGGGCCCTCGGTGGAGCTCCCTATGAGGCCACGATGCGTGCGAGGGGTGTGCCGAAAAGGGCGAGACGCCCACATGCGAATGGCGCCACTGAAACCTTCGGTGGAGCTCTCTATGAGGCCACGAAACTTTTAAGGGGTGTGCCGAAACCAGCGTGACGCCCACATACGACCTGCGCCATTGGGAACTTCGGTGGAGCTCCCTCTGGGGCCACGAAACGTGTGAGGGGTGTGCCGAAATGGTCGTGCGGAGGGCAGAGTGGAGAGAAGGGGGAGGAGGGGCCAGGAGGAGAAGGAGTGACGCAGGGCGCTGTGTCTTCACAACGAGGATCCAACACCACAGGACGGTTGGGAATAAGAACCAGCGACAATTTCATTAATTTGACTCAGCGTCCAGAGCAAGGATGGGGGTGAAACGAAGGCAGGACTTGGGATCTCTGAGACCCGCCGGTTCTGGGGGATTAATTAGGCGCCGCGGCCTTCTCAGAGCGCTCCCAGAGCGCTCTCATGGAGTAATGTATCCCAGTCTTGGACCCTGTGTGCGGGGGGGTGCGCCTCCTGCTTCCCCCTCTCCTGTGCCTCTCGTGGGAGCAGGAGTCGGGAGACGGGGGAGACAGGCTCGCGGCCGATGAAGTGAGCCACCCCGACTTGCTGGTAGGTGCGCCAGAGAGAGCGCCAGAGGACTCTGACATCCTCGCGTCATGAGAAAGTGGCGTCGCGAGGATGTTCCCTACTTTCTGCTTAACTACGGCTGTACCTGAGCGTCCCTAGGATTATCCAAAACATGTCGGGATGCAACATCTGGCCCGGGGAGAGACTCAAGACCTCTTGGAAGCCGCGCTGCGAAGAAGAAGCACGGCATCGGATGTCTGAGGGGGGGGTCAGGAGGGAAAAAACACACAGACGCAATGAATCGTCGATTCCTTCGACAATATGGGGAAATATGGGAAGTGTGTGGGGGGGGGGAAGACGACAATCCAAAAAATATGGAAACATATAGGGGACCCCTGGGATTTCACTTTGTGTGTATCTGTTTGTGTGTCCTTATTTGTATGTCCCCAGGCCCCTTCAGGGTGGGATGCCCTCGGCGGGGGAGCCAGGGGGCAGTTCCTCACTGGCCACACGTATGCTTATATACGGCGCGTCTTCTGGGGGGTTCGTTGGGGAAGGGGGCGGAGCTCTGCAGTCGTGCATCGCGGGGCGCGAAGCTCGCTATTGGGTGATTCACTCGGGCATGTCCCCTCGACAGGAGGAGTGTTCAGAGATAGTTTGAAAGATAGTATGGGGACGATGTTCTGACTGTGTTTGACTGTGTCCGAGCTGTTTAAAGAAAGTTTGAGAGTATAGTTAAAGACATGTTGGGAGTATGTTCTATGTTTTGCCCAACATCCGCCTGCAGAAGGACATGCCCGACCCAAATGTAGTAGGCACGTCGGGTACAGTCGGACCGAAGCATAAGATCGAGGTCGTTTCGGGGAGAGTACCCAAATGTTTTTCCTGCTTGTTGGACGAAGCATACGATCGAGGTCGTTTCGGGGAGAGCACCCACATGTTTTTCCTGTTTGTTGGACGAGGTATAAGATCGGAGGAGGAGGAGGAGGAGGAGGAGAAGGAGGAGGAGGAGAGGGAGGACGTGCTTCTGGCCCAGGGTCCGACTGTAAGACGTCGGCCTACCAGCAAGTGCCCCACGGAAATGTCTGAGGCCCACAGAAGTGCTGGGCCACTTGGGGACCCAACACCCAGAGTTCTGGTGGAAAAATTGACTTCTCGTACGTGTAGGCTGTAGGGGTATCGGGGATGTGCGCTGGAGGGTGTGACTGCTGGGTGAAGCCGAGGCGTAGATACTATCAGCTGTGGGCAGCTCATCGTGGTGCTCGCAGCTCGTTTTAGCTTCGACTGCCGACGAGCACAAACGGCGTGGCGAAAGCTCGAACGCATACAAATCAGCCCCGTCAAGTCTCTTGGTTTGCTTCGTCTCACGGCCAGATGATTCGAGGGGGCCTCATGTCCGAGTTTCAAGGGCATCGGGGGGGGAGCCTTGGGGAAAGGAGGGGGGAGGAAGGGGGATTGAAGAGCGAGCTTGGGTAGGGATGCAGGATCAGCCGGGGGGGACGGCGTCTCGCGGATCGCCCTTCTCCCAATTTCCCGGTCCAGATCCCTGCACCCTGCCTCTCCCTCCAGAGCAGGCGCGCTGCATTCCCTGGCACCTTTTGGCCTCATACCCCTTCCTCCTCTTTCCCATTCAGCTCTCAGCGCGCTGTCGAGGGCCGAGGAATTGTCCTTCCTCGAATCGGTAGGTAGTGCTGCCATTGCTGCTGCTCCCTCCGCCGCTGGAAGCGGTGCGGAGGTCGAGGCATCTTCCCCCCGAGGTCTTCGCCCATCCAGGGAGCGCGGGAGAAATCCGAGTGTATCCCAGCACGCACGTGCTGGAAACGGCGCGCGGTCCAGCGCTGGATACCAATTTAATTCATTGTGTGGGATGGCATGTCATTCTTAGGCAACGTGGCTGCCCGGTAGGTCATTCCGCCGCTCGCGGCGGAGTGCTTCCCGTCGGCTCCCCTGTTGGTTGACCCCTCCCCAGACCAATCCCGACGACGTGAATTGTTCACGACGTTGTACCCGCGAAGTCGCCTGCCTCCTCGGCAGCAGCACGCCGAGGGACTCCCCACACAGCGCGTCACTGATGCCGTGTGGCCCCCCCAAGATGCCTCCATGAGGCCTCCAAGATGCCCGCAGGAGGCTCCCGAGAGACCACCAGAGGCCCCAAGGGGCCTCCCCAGAGGCACCCAGACGCCCCGAGAGGCCCCCGAGACTGTCAAGAGACCCCCAAGACGCCCCAAGAGGCCCCTCACCCCACCCCCTACCGAGCCCTGCCATCCTCCGAGACACTGTGTTGCCGATCCGCGGCCCGGAAGCCCCGACGGCCTCGTGGACCCGGGGACGGGAGGAGGGAGGAGGGAGGAAGGAGGAGGAGGGAGGAGGGAGGAGGGAGGAGGGAGGAGGGAGGAGGGAGGAGGGAGGAGGGAGGAGGGAGGAGGGAGGGGGGGAGGAGGAGGGAGGAGGAGGAGGAGGGGGAGGACCCCCCGACGCCGAGATGGCATCGTCGGAGGTCGGGGAAAAAGCCGACCCCGGGGCTCTGCAGGCGCCGACCCTTGGGGCCGGAGAGGCAGGGCGGGGGGGGCCGACCCGGAGCTCGGGCGTCGTGGGCTGTTTCGCAGAGCGACGCAGTCGGACCGAGGTATCTTAGTGTTGTGGAGGACGCCAAATCATTCCCAGATGTCAACCATGTAAAAAACATGCTCGAAACATGTAACAAACGTGTTTAGAACATGTTTAGAACACTGTTTCCCAGATGTTGGACACATTCTGCATTCAATGGTAGGACTGTTAGGGTGTCCATTGTCGTGGCAGCCACAATCTTAATGTGTTTCGTGTTTGTTGGATGCTCTTCATGCTCGTTGGATGCTCTTGTACATCCTGGGGAGGGTACCCTTGGATGTTCTGTCTGTTTCGTCCGACGGAGGGTCTCGTGCTCTTGAGGGATGCTGTCCTGGCCCAGGCCCGGCTGTGCCCTCTCCTGGGCGCGGCTTTCTTATCCCGAGTCGCATTCTGACGGCCCTTTGGGCCCGGTGATGGCCCATGGGTGCCAGCACCGAAATCTGTAAAAATACTGCCCGTCGCGATTCGCTCACGAGAACGAGGGGTGGGGAGAATCGGGGGTGGATAGACCTACCCTGACACGTCGAATTGGCCGTTTTCGGCTCGCGAGAGGGCGTCGCGGCCGCCATTTTTGCGGGTCCAGGTCCGTCGGTTTCGGTCCCGGGCCGTTTTCACTAAGGGGAGGTTTACTAGAGGGAGGGTTCTCCACCGCCGAGAGAACGAGGGGCGGGGAGGAGGGGGCGGCCAGAGGAGCCCCTCGCGGCGCGAGGGAGCTCTGTGGGGGGGGCCCGCAGGCCGACCCCGGCGCTGCGGGCGCCGGCCCCGGGGCCGCCGCGCCCGAGCCGGTGCGGCGGCACCCGTCGGCGGAGGACTACCTGGCCTTCAGCCCGTTCGGCTGACGGGGCCGCCCGCGCTTCTGTGTCGGGCCTGTCCCCCTACAGGGGGATGTTCGACGAGAAAGAAAACATGCCCCCGAAATAGACAAAAAATCATACAAAAATCGTCCAGGCATTTTTTTAGTATTTTTGGGCAAAAGCCATTTCGTCGAGCATCCCCCTGCAGGGGGGCACGCCCGACGTAAGCCCACGCTGACTCGCGCGGGGGGGGGGGGGGGCAGCCCCGCGCGGGAGGGCTCCCGGCGGCGCGGTCAGCCGGGGGGGTGCCCGCAGAGACCCCCCCCGAGGCGCCCGCAGCAGAGAGAGAGAGCCGCACGGGTGCCCCCCGGAGATGCTCTCGTGACAGAAGCCCCGGGGCACCTGAGGCCCCAAAGAGATCGACGAGAGATGCCCCCCCGGAGAGTTTCTTGTGTCCCGCGGAGAGATGCCCCCCCGGAGAGATGCCCCCCTGAGGCCCCAAAGGGATCGACGAGGCCGCACGGGTGCCCCGCGGAGAGTTTCTCGTGCCCCGAGGGGCACAGGAGCCACAGACAGGGGGGCAAAAAGTGGCAGAATCATAAAAAAAACTCGGAGGTCCGCGCGGGTTTCTCGGATCGGCGCTGGGGCCCCCCACCCTCCCTGGCGCGCGGAGCGCGCCAGGGCTGGCGCCGGAGGCGCCGCCGGGGGGCCCAGCGCCGATCCGAGAAATCCGCGCGGACCTCCGAGTTTTTTTTTATATGTTTATGTCACTTTTTGTTCCCCTAACAGAAGTCCTGGGGCACCTGAGACCCCAAAGAGATCGACGAGAGATGCCCCCCCGACAGAAGTGATTGCAAGAGTTCTTATCGTGTGGTTCGACTGCCCAGGATTATGCACGCACGCACATATGTATATGTTTGTGTAAATGTACACGTATGTATGTCTGTCTGTGTGTATGTATGCATGCATACATGCATGCATGTATGTATGTAAGTATGTATGTCTATATATATATATATATATATATATATGGTAGGGGCGGCTCCCAAGATCTGTGTTTGAGTTTTCCCTCTTGGTTTTACGATCGTCGTTGTTATGTGTCTTTTCCTGCGTAGCCTGTCCGCGTGATCCTTTTCAGTGGTTCTCTGGACGAGGATTTCGATTTGAGCTTTCCGATCTCTGGCTTGTTCGAAATCGAATCTCCAACAACCCCAGAAAACCAGAAATAGCGCAACAAAAAAATAAACAGTTATAACAATATAGAAGAGTGTGGGGCCTTGTGATTTCACAGGGAGCACTTGTTTGGGGCAGCGAAAAACAACGGCTTGTCTGTAAAAACCGAAGGTTTTTTTCGAACTGTATTGACATGATCAAGAAAAACGGTCGAGCGGGAGTGTGATCTTTGAGCAGACACAGGGATCACCTGTTCCCACTCCAGTTTGTTCTTAAACATTCCTGTGCAAAAAAGAAGCCTTGTGTTGTTGAGCATCAAACCATTGAGTTCAGTTGTCCCAGACAGGTGATCCTTGTGAAAACACTGGGTTTCCGCATTTGTTTTGTTGGTTGTTCCGCCTTTTGTGGTTTTGTTCAGCTTGATATGTTTGCTAGTGGCTGCTGGGAATCAAGATTCCAACAACCCATAAACAAAAACATAGACAGTAAACACACATAAAGCAGACAGCTGGAACAACATAATACAAGTGTGGGAACCCTGTGCTTTCGCAGGGATCTCTTGTTATTGACCACGAACGTCAATGGCTTGACGGTGAAAACACACACACGGCTTTCTTTGAATTGCATGAAAATTTGAACAGACAAAAAAAAGGTAAAGCGTGAGTGTCATCCCTGTGCAGGCACAGGGATCACCTGTACCCATTATTGCTTGTTCTTAAACAACGCAATACACATCAAGGACAACCTTGTGTGTTTACAGTCAAGCCATTGGTTCTTGTCGTCCAAAACAGGTGGTCCCTGTGAAAACACCGGGTTCCCGTTCGGATTTGTTCGAAGTTGTATTTCCAACAAGCCAGGATCACATTTGAGGACCGTTGCAATCGGATTATTTTGGTGCATGGTTACAACCAGATGCTTTAGAGGATTACAGTAGAATTCCGTTTGCGGAGGATTGCAATCGGATTTGTTATGTTGAGGGTTACAGTCAGATTATTTTCGAGGCGGATTACGATAGGATTCGTTTTGCCCATGATTACACTAGGATTCCATTCGAGGAGGATTACATTGTTATTCCTTCTGAGAGGATTACAGCAGGATTCGTTCTGAAGAGGATTGCAATGGGACGTATTTCGGAGAGGATTACACATTACAGTGGGATTATGTTTGCGGAGGGTTGCACTCGGATTCCTTTTGTTGATGTTTACAAGAGGATTTTTTCTTTTGAGGAATATTACACTCGGATTCCTAAGACATCACATTTCCAACAACCCCGACAAAACAGAAACAGCGAAACAAACACAAACAGCGGAACAACCAGAAAAGAAAGTGCGGGAATTCAGGGGAACCCGGCCGCACCTTTTCGCGCGCGGCATCTAGGAGCCCAGAGTTGCGAAGATGTCTCAGGCGAAGTTGGCCAGATCACCTCGCGCGCGGCATCTCGCAAAGTTGGGAGGATGTTTCAGTCGAGAATGTCTGAGGCAAAGTTGGCCAGATCACCTCGCGCGCGGCATGTCTTAGCCCAGAGTTGCGAGGATGCCTAAGGCGAAACAAATTGCACCTCCTCAGCTTATGGGGCATCTCTGAGCTTTGAGTTGCGACCACCCAGCGAAACCCACCATGATATTTACGACACCAAGTAATTATGACCCCCATAAGTGCAAGCGTTGTGTGGGAAACGAATGTATGGATACAGAAATACATGCGAAGACGTATGTGATGATAGTACATGTGTATGTGTATGTATATTTGTGCACACTTGCATGTAGAAATCAAGCGAAGTAGCGTTTCTCGCCATTGCAGGCCCCCGGGGGCCTCGGTGAGGCCCAGGGCCATCAAGACAAATTACTCAGGCCGACAAGTCCAGCTTGCGGAAAGGGTCGGGACTTGCACGGCCATTCGGATCTTGGAGCGGGGGGGGCAGGGTGCTTCTCAAAGGCCCTCTTCCTCTACCCACCCCCATCTGCGCGCCGCCACAGAAGATGCGGCCAACGCCACCAGTCCCCATGAAGAAGGGGCGTTTGAGGGAAAGGGGGGTCCTGAAGCATCTTGCCATCCGGGTTCGTGGTGTACAGTCAAAAACCCTAATAAGGACGCGCGACTTCGCTCAGAGTACCCTTGCGTCCTTGCTCTCCCTTGCTCTTGCGTCCTTGAGGTTTTCGTCGTCCGCCGCCCCAAAAATCCCAACTTCGGCTTCCAAGGGTCTTGCGTCCTTGCCGCGGGTCCTTAGTAGGGTTTTTGACTGTATCCCCGACCCGTTTCCCTCAGCATCTCTCCTCCCCGTGCATGCCGCAGGACCACCCGCGTCGGCGTAGCCAGGCCGTGACCGCCGTGCGGTTGGCGCAGGCGGTCGGCTTCGGGGGCCCAGGGAGGGCGAGGTGGACGCAAGCCTTGTGCGTTGCGTCTGCCCGTCTCCCCCTTTTTCCCTTGGCTTTCGGCGGCGAGCCCGGGGGGAAGAGAGAAGGAGAAGGCCTTCTCAGAAGGCTCGGAAGTCCTCCGGCCTTCTGAGAAGTTTTCTTAGCCTTGCCCGAAGACGCAGACAACTTCTCAGAAGGCGCGAGGGCTTCCGAGAAGTCCCGCCGCCTTCTGAGAAGGCCTTCTCCTTCTCATTTCCCACCCTCGCTCTCCGCCGAGGCTTGGCCCTGTTCGAGGGGCCCCGGAGGATGCAATCCCTCCTGAGAGGCTAGGTTCAGCATCGGCGCTGTATGGCCTTGCTCGACAACTGGCCGAATCTGGCATAGTCCCGCTCTGTACCATTTCGTCCCGCCTATTCTGGCCCAGTCGGTGATACTCCTGAGCTTGGTCTCTCAATCTGGTCCACCAGCCTTTCATGCCTGTTGACGAAGACCACCTAAAGGTTGTCTCTTGAGCGTCTGGTGCACCTTCTGTGCAGGGACGCCTGTGGTCTTCCAGCAGATGTCCCCGAGCAGGCACCGTTTAGGACGAGCATCGACGAAACAAGTACGCCATAATGATGATTTGTCCGAGGTCAAAATGTTTGTTTCTGTGCCGTTGAGTGCTCCTCCAGAGGAGGAAGAAGAGGCGGGAGGAGGAGGAGGCGGAGGAGGAGGAGGCGGAAGGGGAAGGAGGGAGGATAACTGAGGAGGATCACGACGGAGGACCACGAGGAGGATGAGTAGGTGGCAGAGGAGGATAGGAGGAGGATGCAGAGCAGTATAGACGGAGGAGGAGGAGGAGGAGGAGGAGGAGGAGGAGGAGGAGAAGGAGGCAGAGGAGGAGGCAGAGGAGGAGAAACAGGAGGAGGAGGAGAAGGAGGAGAAGTAGGAGGAGGAGGCAGATGAGGAGGAGGAGGAGGAGGAGGAGGAGGAGGAGGAGGAGGAGGCAGAGGGGGCAGAGGAGGAGGAGGAGGAGGAGGAGGAGGACGGGGGTGTGGAGCGCACGGATATGTTCTGCTGCCGTGCCAGAATGGCGCGCGGACGGGCGCTGGCCTCCGCCGCCGCTCCGATGCCAGAAAGAGCGAGCGCCGCACGGCCCATCCCGATGCAGCCTGGCTCGGTGGGCCGTCCCGCTCGCGCTGGTTCGGCAAAAGGGGCGCTGCCGAATTACTCCAAATCCGTTGTGAATCGACCCCCCCCCTAAAGAACCGGACCCCCCTCCCAAATGCGACCTGCTATTCCGGACCCCCCCCTTCGACAGGGCGCCCTGATAAACTGGACCCCCTGAGCTCCAATCCAAAGAAAGCGCTCTAATAAACCAGGCCCCCCAATTTTCAAAAAGGCGCCTTAAAAAACCGGACCCGGGGGACGATTAACAAGGGATTTGGAGCATCCCTCGGAAATCTCAAAGCGGCATGAACATTCGGTAGGGGCGTTGTTTACATTGGAGGCCCATGCCAAGAAACACCCTGCTTGCCTCCAGGGTTTCTGAGGTTTCTGGGGTTTCGATGCCTTTGCCATGGACAATGTGACGCTCCCACACCAAAAAATCAATGAACGTCCTGGTGTCTCAGGGCTGGGTTTCTTGTGGAAGGTTTATTGTGGACTGGGCTCCACTGTAAGGAATGTGCCCAGGAGGCTTCAGACCCTGGAGGGTTCCTCATCTCATAAGGGCGGAGGGGGGTGCTGATTGGGTGGGGGTGGGGATCATGGGGCCATGCTGTCTCCTTGATTTCATGGGCCCGTCTTCTTCTTTCAGTGCGTCCCCGGGCGCGCTCCCTCGCCCGCTCGCTTGCCGCAGGCCGTGATGCGACCCCCTCCCTCTGGTGGTACATGTTTGGAGGGCCGCACTAATATTATGTCGGGCGTGTCCCCCTACAGGGGGATTTTCGACGAAAAAAAACAAATACCCCCAACATGCACCAAAAAGGTCAAACCATACTGGGAAAAATAGTCTCCCCAGACTATGTTTGATTATTTTTGGGGCATTTTTTATTTATCCTCGAAAATCCCCCTGTAGGGGGACAGGCTCGACTTAACACTAGTAGCCTGGATCGGCGCTTGCCCCCCCCCCCCCCTTGTGGTGCCTCCAGCGTCGCCCCTGGCGCGCTCCGCGCGCCAGGAAGGGGGCACCATCGCCGATCGGAGAGATCTGCTCGGACCTTCGAGCGCTCACGTTTACATGACTCTTATCGTTCTAATGGTAAGTCGGGCCCGTCCCTCTACAGGAGGAACATTCATATATCATAAATAGATAAAGAAATACAAAAAAAAATATTAGTCTGGGGACTATGTTTCGAGTTCCTGTGGACGATTTGGGAGTATTTTTGGAGTACTTTTTATGTTTCGTCGAACATCCCCCTCCAGGGGGACACGCCCGACTTAACTCTAATGAGCCGAGCATGTTCTTCGGGTGGAGGGCAAAGGGTGAAATCTGAAATGCCCTTTCGATTGATCTTCGAGGCTTCGATCTGCACAAGGTGAATCACAAGACGGATTGATTTTCGAGGTGCGAAAGCCCATATGGATTTCACCTTGAGCCCTCAACCCTAAGAAACTGCTCAGATGAGGTTTCCTCCGTGGTGCTCGTGAGACGTCGCGGGGGGCTCTTGGCGGTGATCTGGGCGGCTTCGAGAGGACGAACCGGCTGCCTCTCCGGGGGGGCAGCGCGCCCAGGCTTTTTCCCTCCGGGCCCAGGGGTGCCATGGTCTGCCAGCCCGTGGCGGCGTGGCCACAGCCTCGGGGACCGCGTGCTCCGCGAACTGGAGCCCGTGGAGGGTCGAGAGGAGAGGGTGAGGAGCAGGAGGAGGAGGAGGAGGAGGAGGAGGAGGAGGAGGAGGAAGAGGAAAAGGAGGAGGAGGAGGAGGAGGAGGAGGAGGAGGAGGACCGTGTGGGATGTCCTCAGAGCGCACCGTCAGCGGTCGGGTCCGCCGACCTTCACCCCCCACCCCCCCACCTTTCGGCGGCGAGCGGGGGGGAGGGGAATGGAGAAGGGGGAGGCCTTCTCAGAAGGCGGCAGGACGTAGAAGCTCGCGCGCCCTCTGAGACTTTGTGTCCGTGTCTTCGGGGACGGCTTAGAAGATTTCTCCGAAAGCCAGAGGTTTCCCGAGCCGTCTGAGAAGGCCCGCCCCTTCTCACTCCCCCCCCGGGGCTCGCCGCTAAAGCTTCCTCCGCCCGATCAGGCGGCAGTGGCTCCAAGTTTCGGTGGGATTATTTTCCCCCCGCGCCCACGTACCAGATCCACGCATCCGTATTCCAGATTCGCGTGTGCCTGATTTGGTTCAGGGTTTATCGAAGACGCTTACAGCGAATCACTGCCGCCCCCTGCCCTTGTGGAAGCGCCTATGTGGCTGACAGCTGGGCTAGAGCCTGGCCAAGCTAGCGGGCCAGTTGTTCCCCGAGTCGATTTGGAGAGCCTTCGGGGAACGCGTGGGGGAGCAAGAGGTTTGAAAGCGCTCATGTGCCCGAGCGCTGTGGCAAGAGCTCTGCCAAGCTGTCGGACCATGTGTTCCCCCAACCGTTGTGGAAACCCTTCGGGGAACACTTCTGGGAAGATGGCGGGGAAGATCAGGAGGAGGAGGAGAAGGAAGAAGAAGGAGGAGAAGGAGGAGGAACATAAGGAGGAGGAGATGAGGAGGAGGAGTCTTGGGCGTCTTGGAGGTCTCTTAGGCCGTCTTGGGGGCCTCTTAGGGCCGTCTTCGGCCTCTTGGGCGATCTTTGGGGGGCACTTGGGCCGCCTGGGGCCGTCGGAAGGCCGAACAAAAAGCAAATGCAACAATCCTTCAACAACTCATGGGAAATCAATGATTTGGGCCTTTTCGGGCCTTCCTGGAGACCCTCTTGGAGGCCTCTTCGCCGTCTTTGGCCATCTTCGGCCGTCTTGGTGGGCTCCTGGCCCGTCTGACGCCGTCGGAAGCCGTTTGGGGGGCCTCTCTGGGCCGACCTGGGGCCTTCTTGGAATGCTCCAGGGCCGTCTTGGAGGCCATCTTGGGCGCATTAAAGACCCCCTGGGCCGTCTTGGGGGCATCTTGGGGTCGTCTTGGGGGCCTCTTGGGCCGTTCTGGGGCCATCTCGGAGGCCTCTTGGGCGATCTTTGGGCGATCTTTGGGGGCTCTTGGGCCGTCTCGGGCCGTCGGAAGGCCGAAAAGGATCACATGTCAAAATCCTTCAAACACCAAATCAGTGTTTGTTGCCTTCTCGGGCCTTCCTGGAGGCCCTATTGGAGGCCTCTTGGGCCGTCTTGGGCAAGCTTCGAGCCAACTTCGGCCATTTTGGTGGGCTCCTGGCCCGTCTGACGCCGTCGGAAGCCGTTTGGGGGGCCTCTCTGGGCCGTCTTGGGGCCTTCTTGGGGTGCTCCAGGGCCGTCTTAGAGGCCTTCCTGGGCGTCTTGGAAGCCTCTTGGGTCGTCTTTGTGCCCTCTTGGGGCCGTGTTGGGGGCCACTTGGGCAGTCCTGAGGCCAACTTGGAGGCCTCTTGGGCGCTCTGGGGGCGATCTTGGGGGCCTCTTGGGCCGTATTGGGTCGTCGGGAAGCCGAAAAGGAGCAAATATGAAAACCTTTGAATACCAAATGGGCAACATTGTTTTTAGCCTCTTCGGGCGCTACTGGAGGACCTCTCGGAGACCTCTTGGGCACCTCTTGGGCCGTCTTGGGCCGCCTTGGAGGTTTCTTGGGCGGACTTGGAGGCATCTCCTCCTCTCTTGGGCGGACTTGGAGGCCATCTTGGACCATCTTGGAGGCCATCTTGGGCCAACGTGGCCATCTTGGAGGCCAGCTTGAGCCGTCTTGGGGGAAGAATTGGAGGAATTATGCTCCGTGGCAATCCTCCCAGGACCCTGGAGGGACGCGTCAGAGCCCCAGGGGGAGTTCCTTGGGAAAAAGAGCCAAAACCAAAACCGAAAGGATTCAGCACGCCAGGCCCCCCTCTTGCAAGCAACAGGGGGCGGCGGATCTTTTGCCCTTCGGCGTAATCCGCCAACGTGCCTCGGTTTGTGAGGTCGACGGGGGGGGGAAGGGTTGAAACGATAGTGTTTTGCATGCAGTTCCGGAAAAGTTCGGCGAAAGCCCCAGGAAAATTCAGTGTCTTGATTCTTCCGTTATTGTGTCATTGATTTTTGGTTGTTTGTACCATATGCGCACGGCATCGTACACATTCATACGCAAGCACGCAAGATTCTTTTTCAGACATACACAGAGTTCTTGTTTGATATACGCAACAGATTTCTAATCATCACCGCACTGTATGAACCCATATGAAGATGGGTTGTAGTTTTTGGTTGGTCGATCTTTTTGAAGACAAATGTGATTATTGATTGTATGCATCTTCGCATAACCATATAAAATAAGTTGACGAACCAACAACCGAATACTTCATTCAAAATGATCAGTCCGTTTTTTGCAGGCGTTTGCTTGGTACAAAATACAAGCACATCCCCGACTTGTATACAGTCATTTGACAGACTTGATGTTTCTCAAATAAGTGCTGTCTGAGAGAGACTCTCACTTACAGTATTCTTCACCGAACCATTCACAGTTAGTCTGAACAGCACGATGAGACTCTCATGTTCGTTCCGATTTGCTTTTGCCGACCGTCGTGTTCTCATCATCGCTGCCTTGTCTAAAGTATGATGAAGCCGCTTTGTTTCTCTACGTAGGTAACTCGAGGCACATAGTCTGTCATGTCTGTTACCTGCACACCAGCATGTGCATTCATATGGAAGATCATACAACGCTATGTTGTGTGAACAAAAGGCTTTTGGGGCAGCTAACTTTTCAAAGCCATCATTGGATAGCACCAGTTCATATGACATAACCCAGTGTAGCTGTTATGCGAATGACATGCGTTGAGCCAGCCATGCTACATGCCATTAGTTTTGGCCGAATTAAACAAACGCAAATGACAACCAACAACAGTATTCGGTGTTGCAAGCGTAGTAGTACTACGACTGTCAAAACACAGTTGTTGGTCATTCATGTAAACCCACACGAGTACTAATACACTGCAGCGTTGGTGCGTTACCGAAGTCCCGATGTCAGATGACCCTTGTCACTTTCACGCAACAGTCCGTACGTGCTGCCCTTACAAAAGCATAGCGTATGCACCATTGTGGCATCGACGTGCATCTGACGCGTGGTTTGTAACATGCCTACGT